AATTCATTCCGTCTGTAATCGTATGTTCTTTATGATTGTTTTATGTTATTTCCCTAAATTACAATGGTTATCATAGGAAAAATCATAAAAATGACAATTACTGTAGAATTTTATGAAACTACACAGTATGCACTATATAATAAGATATAAAATAACATGAAAAGAAATTAGCAGTTATGGTGTTATAGAAATTATCGGAAAATGAACAAATGGGGTGTATCAGTTTGGTAACAGGAAAATTACCTCTAGTATGAATATGATCTCCTCTAGAAGCAATACAGCAGTGTGTAATGCGGTCTATCAGTTCCATAGGAAGTGAAAGCCATTGTTCTTGCAAAGCATTTGCAAGTGTGGCAAGAGTCTAAAGAGAAGGATTGAGATCAGCTATATGTCTTTAAAGCATTCCAAATATGCTCAATAGTATTCAGGTCCGGTGATCGAGCTGGCCACTCAATGCGCTGAATTATTTGCTGCTGAAGATAATAATCCACAATGTAAGTCCTGTACTGAGTAGTGTTGTCATCCTGTTGCAGGAAATCATCACATTTTGTTTCAGCGTAAGGTTACACATAAATATCAAGGATGTCATCTCTATAGGTCTGAGCATTCATGATTCCATCTGGGAAGACATGGAGGTTCATGTGTCCACCCAAAGAAATACCATCCCAAACACAGATACTACCTCATATATATGCTTCTCTTTCACCAATGCTTGATGGAGGATAATAGGTTCTAGAGGAGATCATCTCTCGAAATTAAATAATGCCTACTGTGGCTTTTGGCTATACCTGGACTTATCCGTAAAAAGAACAGCCATCCAGTGAACTGTTGACATGCCGAACTCAAGCATTCCCTTATATGATGTGGTTTGAGTTTCACATAAGTGGCTGGTTGCCTCGTGTACAGAACTCCTTCGTGAAGCCTTCTACGCATTGACACTAACCCTCTGGTGGCGGCAGCAAGAGATGATCTGAGTTGAGTTATAGAGTTCATTACGTGAGCTGGTTGCCTCGTGTACGAACTCCTTCGTTGAAGCCTTCTACGCATTGACACTAACCCTCTGGTTGGCGGCAGCAAGGATCAAGAGATGATCGAGTTGAGTTATAGTTTATCCTTCATTTATAAAAAAAATAGCGGTGTCTAGGAGTTGGCCGTTTTGGGATGATCTTAAAAATGAATTAGAAATTGTTATAATCTGTAAAACAGAAGGACTCTGATTTAGCCATCTGGCATTTCTGTTCGTTTTGTCTGCCTCTAGTCCCCTCAATAGCCTCTGAAAAACTGTAGTTCTTAATGCTTAACTTATAACACAATTGGCTGTTCAGATTTTTTTTCATCTGAATATTGCAGCCAAATTTGAAGGCCTTGCTATCAAAACATGCAATTTTTATGATTGTTCTGATTACATATTGATTGCAGCCCCTTAATTGCGCATAGCAGTTTACTCAGAAACTCTTTGTATTTGAGACCATACTCAAATTTTATATGGATTGGCTTTAGTAATTTTTGGAAACCAGGTTTTAGTTACTTGTAGAAGGCATTTTATTATCTTCTCTTCCGTGTACAGATATAAATTATTTGATTTAAAAGATCTCATTGTTTTGTTAATTTTTTTGGATTATTAGCCCAAAGGTCATCAGCCTAGAAGGGCTATTAATTTTGTTTTGGCATTTTGTATTGGAAACTTTAAATGTGGATTCACTTTTCAAACTGTTGCCACCAAATATTACAGCCCTGTATTATATTTAAAGAAATTAAATAATCAAGATTTTACAAAAAGGAATTTATGTTTCTTGCATTGTGATAAAACAACGGTACCTAGAGCCATCAATTTCTGAATGCTGTACGTTTCCGTCCGAATATGAGCACCTCGAAGCCCAAATTTGGAATTTTCTAAATTATCTATTTCATATTTTGTAAAACCTTAATGAATTTTTGATTAAAAAACTAAACAATTTCCAAATCGAGCAATGGCAATACAGTGTGGCGGGAAAAACATTTTTTTTTTTTTTTTTTTTCTCTCCAGCGAAGTCTCTTTCTTTTTTTTTTTTTTTTTTTTCCCCCCTTTTTTATGGTTTTTTTTTTTTTTTTTTCCCTCGGGCCTTGGATTTTTATGTTTTTTTTAATTTTATTGTTTTCATCATTTTCTCTTTTTACATTTTTTTTTCCCTCCCAGAAAAACTCCTAAGATGTTAAATAAGCCATCGGCTTCGCAAATGAGATCTGCTTTTCACTACAATTTGGTCTGATATTGGTTTTGTGTGTGTTTGAGATAATGAAATGTTTTATATTTTAGAATATTAGTTATAGTTAAATTATTTGTAACAAAAAGAAATTATAGATAGTTTAAGATTTGACATTTAGTCATGCTTTATTTCTGTAATGTTTTTGTTTTTTTTAAATTATTTATTATGAGAGCTATTGGTTGCAAGTGGTTAGTTTTTTACTGACGACCGGATGAGACTTGTATTGCAAAAAAAAAAAAAAAAAACCCCCCCCCCCCCTGACATGTGAATGATGTTCTTTGTACTTGGGTATTTAATCCCAAATTATCTATAAATTTATTTAAAAGCAGATAACTGTTTGAATTTAGATACAGTAAATGAATATACATGAAAATAGTGATGTTCTTTGTTAAAACTAAAAAAAAAAAAAAAAAAAACTTATGTGCATAGCTGCCAGAATTTGGCATATTTATAAAATTTGGTAATTTCTACTACTGAAGTGGTTTACTAATACATGTAAGTGCTTATAATTTTGCTTGAAAAGGCTATTTTTTTTTAAATTATTCTGTCTTCAGACTGCATCTTGGAAGAAATTATTAAAATGAAATGTCTGCTTCTCCTTATTACTTGACTGCATATAAGCTTGCGATTGTCAGTGTTGCCTGCCTCATTCTGTTATCTTATCCTGAAGGCTTGCTGCTGTTAGGAGAGAGGGAATTGTTATGCCTTTTTATGTTTTTAATGAAGTCAGTTATAATGTTCTGAAATGAGTTGATGAAAAGATGTTGCGCAATTTTCCTATGGGGCAAATTATCTCTTTCTTTATGTTCTAAAAGTCTGGATTCATTTCATTAAAAAACTTAGAAATATACCAATATTACTTTCTTCCTTCAATGACATTAATTGAAACCATGGTAAAAATATATTTCAGGTGATTGTTTGGTGCCATTCCTGTTTAAATCCAACACCCTTCCAGTAAAACGGCGTCTGAAGCATTACAGTAAAACATTATTAAAACAAAAAATATATAATCTCAATAAATCGCATTTTAAATCAAACAAGGAAATAACATAAGAATGGAAATACATGTTATCTAATCTACTCAGTTAAAATATATATATATATTGGCTTACCTTATTTAAAAATTTCAGGTTCTTCAGTATGTGTGACACACAGAATTCTTTAACAGCATCCAAGAACTATTTAAAATTATCTAAACTAGACTCTGATACGCGTACCAAGTAAATTTCGCGACCGCAAGGTTCAACTTCAAAATATCCTTCATACTGCCGAAGGCATTTCTTTCTGAAACCCTTTTTCATTACGCCCCACATACCTTCCATAGTGTTGATATGAGCTCCGGTTTCCAAATTCTTAAATCTTATTGCATAATTTACCGAGAAGTGAACAAAACCATTTAAATTTTCATTTACACACCAGTCAATCAATGTTTTCTTTCCCATTCATTCCAAAATGTACAAAAACTTCAGGTTAATTGTACCATGAGCAGGCATTTTACGGTGTAAAACATAAAATAAGCAACATACTTTGTAATCTATATCCAACTCATAAATAAGCCCTTATATATAAATATTTTCCCCACAGTCAAAATCAACACCCTCATGCATTACAACCAAACGTGTTATAATAGGGTTTACATAATATTTAACGTAAAATACTCAGGTTACCATACATGAAACAACAACTTAGCAATAATACAAGGAGTACCCTAAAATATAGACTGACCGAAACCATCTAGTTGAAAAGCAGTAGAAGGTAGATGATATGAATGATATGGCTTAATTTTAGTTACAAATATAAATAGACATATCTGGCTGACTTATTTGTGGGCAAAAAACTCTTACAAAGCATTCCAGCAATTATAAGTGTCCTTGATAATAATAAAAAATATTTTCTAATGTTCTAAAAAAATTTCCATGCAACTTTCTTGTATGGCCTGTTAAATTATGCATATTTTTTGCTGTCTTTCGTTTAAAGTTATTTTACTCAATTTTCATTAGAGAATATTCTAAAATTAAAACAAAACAATAAAATTAATTTTTAAACACCACTCAATTTTCATTAGAGATATATTTCTCGTTCAATCAATTCAGGTTTCACTACACAACGAGGGAAAAATTCGTCAAAACTCGAAACATCTTCATAAAAAATTGTAAAATGCAGAAAAACATAAAACACCAAAAACAGTTAAAAAATTGTACAATAAAAATTAGTTTGCATGCAAAACAAGCAGTTCGACCCGGTGGGCAAGAAGGCAGATTTTTTGGTGCACAAAACTGAATGTTTATCTTTAGACCCACTTGGCAAAAAGACAGTAATATTGGTGTAGAAACCAACTTGATTCACTATTCTACTAAGAGTTTCAGGTGTAAACAAATGACATCTTTGTTAGGCTTAGTAGCACTTAAGCAACTTTGGCTATCCTTTAGTATAGCCCACCCAGATTTTTCACCAAAAAATATCGCCAGGCATAGCGATAAATGATAGGATGTGGTAACCTATACCATTTGGATAACGCAGCGTAAACAACCGTAAATTTATGGAATTACGTTTATTAAATTTCAACACAAATTACCGAGATATTCATTTACTCAAGTGAACGGACGGTATATCCTAATAGCTTTCTCTTAAAATTTGTCTCACTCTGCATTGCCCAGGAAATACAACAATTTTAATTATGATTCTACTAAAATTAACAATCTAAATGTAAAATTCGTAACAGTGTTATCTTCGATTACTTAACGCTCAGACGTCATGGAGAATATTGTTTTGGAGATAAGATTTTTGGCTACTTTGAAGGTGAGATTTTTTGCATTTTGTTACGGGTTGCTGTAAACCTGCTTTTAGCAATAGTGTTATTAAGTATCAGGAGATCTTGAAGGAAAATTTAAGGTGGGAATTTTCAAATAAGCGTAAAAGTTCGGGAAAGCCATGTATTCCAAACAGATATTTTATGTATGAATTAACAAGAGAGTATGAACTTTTTAGAGGATTTTTGATGGATTGTGGGTTATTGAAGGATAGAGTTTGTTGTGAAAAATGCAAAATACTGTGCTGGTTAGTTACTCAGAAAAAGTCATCCAATGGTAGTATTTCGAGATGTAAAACATGTGGGGCTGAAAAATCAATTAAGCTAAGATATTGGTTTGCCTATAGTAAGCTTAATTTACAGTTAATTAATTCTTAATTACATAATTATTTGTTAAAGGCAAAATATCTAAAGGTTTTTAAAAATTACATCATTTTAATCTCAATCAATGCTTAAAATGTTTTTTCTTTTGAAATTGTGTATAGTAGTCATAAATTTGTTTCTATTATCCATAAATTCTGGTGAAAACAAGATGGTCGCCATTTTTGTTTTTTTTTTTTTTTTTTTTTTTTTTTTTTTTTTTTTTTTTTTTTTTTTTTTTTTTTTTTTTTTTTTTTTTTTTTGTTTTTTTTTTTTTTTTTTTTTTTTTTTTTTTTTTTTTTTTTTTTTTTTTTCTTTTTTTTTTTTTTTTTTTTTTTTTTTTTTTTTTTTTTTTTTTTTTTTTTTTTTTTTTTTTTTTTTTTTTTTTTTTTTTTTTTTTTTTTTTTTTTTTTTTTTTTTTTTTTTTTTTTTTTTTTTTTTTTTTTTTTTTTTTTTTTTTTTTTTTTTTTTTTTTTTTTTTTTTTTTTTTTTTTTTTTTTTTTTATTTTTTTTTTTTTTTTTTTTTTTTTTTTTTTTTTTTTTTTTTTTTTTTTTTTTTTTTTTTTTTTTTTTTTTTTTTTTTTTTTTTTTTTTTTTTTTTTTGTTTGTTTTTTTTTTTTTTTTTTTTTTTTGTTTTTTTTTTTTTTTTTTTTTTTTTTTTTTTTTTTTATTTTGTTTTTTTTTTTCGTTTTTTGTTTTTTTTTTTGTTGTTTTTTTTTTTTTTTTTTTTTTTTTTTGTTTTTTTTTTTTTTTTTTTTTTTTTTTTTTTTTTTTTTTTTTTTTTTTTTTTGTTTGTTTTTTTTTTTTTTTGGGGGGGGGGGGGGGTTTTTTTTTTTTTTTTTTTTTTTTTTTTTTTTTTTTTTTTTTTTTTTTTTTTTGTTTTTTTTTTTTTTTTTTTTTTTTTTTTTTTTTTTTTTTTTTTTTTTTTTTTTTTTTTTTTTTTTTTTTTTTTTTTTTTTTTTTTTTTTTTTTTTTTTTTTTTTTTTTTTTTTTTTTTTTTTTTTTTTTTGTTTTTTTTTTTTTTTTTTTTTTTTTTTTTTTTTTTTTTTTTTTTTTGTTTTTTTTTTTTTTTTTTTTTTTTTTTTTTTTTTTTTTTTTTTTTTTTTTTTTTTTTTTTTTTTTTTTTTTTTTTTTTTTGTTTTTTTTTTTTTTTTTTTTTCTTTTGAAATTGTGTATAGTAGTCATAAATTTGTTTCTATTATCCATAAATTCTGGTGAAAACAAGATGGTCGCCATTTTTGAAACACGCAGTTTCATCGGAAATCTTAATGGTAACCATTTTTCAAAACACAGTATTTGACACACTTTGGCTCCAAAAAAATTAGACAAATTTTGAAGGTGGGCTATACTGAAGCTGTTCCAGCAACATATAAATTGTTCGCAATTCTACAACTTTTGCATGCAGATTAACTAGCATAAAAACCATAATTGGAACATTAGAACAACATAATTGAACCACTTTTAAAGCTAAAAATGCACAATATACCAACATATATCAGAACAAAGAAAAACAAACTCATTGAGCTGGTTAGAGGGGTGTATATATATATATATATATATAATGAACATATATATTCATGTACTTTGGTGCGACTAATTGGGACTAAAAAGGGAGGTGCACAACTACATGTTATAGCAGTCCCATATACAAAATTTCAATGTTCTGAGGCTGCTGGTTTTTGAATTATTTTACATGCGTACGCATATACAGATGTCACAAAAAAATTCTATTCTAAATACATTTTACAGTCCGTTTTGGTAAAAATCCTTTGTTCTCTCAGTACATACTGATGTCAGGCAAAAATGTCATCAAATGGATTCGAGAGCAGACGAAATAAATATTTTCTTTGAACTGTGATACCTGAAATTTTTTCGACTGCAATACTGCTTTTACTTTGTACTAGGAAGTAAAAATAATGTTCTTTCTTTTAAAGGTGAAGATATTTCAGATGAAATTATTAATTAACACAGTTACACACTAATGTAAAATAAAGATTGTTGCAAGTTTAAAAAAATAAAGAGTTTAGATTTAAATTTAATACTTCATAAAAATATTTAATTTTTAAATTTAACTGTTTGACTCCTACGCGGCACTAAAGCGCTACGTTCATTTGTCTCAAAAACCGCGACAGCGTAGCGAGTTTCAGTGTGTCTTTGTTGCTCCATGGGTGTGAACGTACATAGTCTGACCTCACACGAACTTTGTAACATGAGTGCATTTTAAAATAACTAACTGTGTCGCGGATTCCGAGACAAATGAACACAGCGCTTTTGCGTCGTGTAGCAGTCAAACGGTTAAAGTATAAGGAAATCTTAAAATATAGATATGTATACATATTAAGATGTCATTATAATATGAGAGTGGCATGAAAAGTGAAAAGGGAAAATTCAAAAATCTTATAACTTGGATAAATTATGATTGAAATATTAGTTGACAGATCTGATCGCATAGCTTCTTTTGAAAGAGTTATATCTGGTTTTAGTTTCATTTTTAAAACTGAACCAGTAACTGAGTTGTAGAATCATTAGGTTATTTTAAAGCAGGAGATGTGAAAAATGTGCAGTCCCCTTGCTGGGATTCAAACACTCGGCCTCTTGAATATGCATCAAGCATGCTTCGAATTACACCATGAAGGCATTCTTAAAGGAGGGAGAAAATACCTTATATACTTTCCCATTTGAAGGGCAACTGGGCATTAGGGACCTAACGCCAAATCTTGATGGTGACGCCAAATCATGCACCACCTTTTAGATCGGGTGCCACTGTAGAGCCATTAAGTTTTCTGTTGCTGAAGACACCCAGACTTCTCGAACGTGTCAAGTATGCTTCCAATTACACCATGAAGGCATGCAGAAAGGAGGGAGAAAATACCGTATGGAGTTAACAATTAAATGTGTAAGACTTGTGCTTTAATTAAATGTGTAAGACTTATGATCTAAAGGCTATCAAAATTTACAAAAAAAAAAGCTTAATATTTATTTGTTTACTGTATTAAACATTTCTTTCAACGCGCGCATGTGTAAAGCATACATTATGCATATCCGAAATTAGAAAATTGCAACCAGAAAACTATTTGATTTGTATTCGTGATATTTATAATGACGAGGAATGATTTAAATCATACATATCAAAGACGAAGTACATCACATCGAGATGAAATACTACATTGAATAAGGAATTATAAGCCGAATAAAATAAAAACATCTGCCCTGAAGATAACGATAGTGTTGACAGATCAACTTCCAGTTCAAAGGATATGCCTTTATCCATTTTTTGGAGCAATTCCACTTTTTGTTTGGACATCAAAACATATTTTCGTTTTCGTAGATCCTTTGGGAGCTCCAGCATCGGAAATTCTATTTGACATAATCGAAAGTTCAAGCTGACTTTTAAAATTGCTCTTACTTTTAAAAAATTGCCTCTTACAGTCTGCAAAAAATAATAAGCCGGATCCAATTCGAAAGATTAAGGAACAACGCAATCATCAAAACATTAAAACTGAAATAAGACAATTAGATTAATTTTAAAGCTTTATATAATTTATACCGTCCGTTATACATTAAACACGCAGCAAAAACGTATTCTGCGCTTGTGCGCACGCAAATGCGCAGTCGCAAGCGTCTTACGCACACGCTTAAACGCCTATGCGCATGCGTCAACGCGGTGCATGCGCAGAAAGTTTTTAGCTTTGAGGTCCGGATTATAGATCATTCCGGATTATGGGTGTCCGAATTAACAACTTTTGACTGTATAGGACTTGAGAACTACAGCTGTCTGACATTCGCTTCTGAACAATGTATAAAAACTTAACTACTTTAATATTAAATAATTTGATGTTTGCTTTAACCATTTAGAAGCCACAGTTGGAAAATTTAAATGCTCATTCTTTAACTTTTTCAGAACAAAGTCCCCCATAACGTTTTTGCATTCAGACATAAACAGGTCATCTGAATGCCTGCATCTATTTTCTACTTCCCCCCTATGGCTAATTGGTTTTGTGAGTTGCTAAATGACATGCCAGTCATTCTTTTAAAGCAGCTTTCCTGTCCTTTGTTTAGTGTTAACATTTCGCAATGAATGCTCACAATCCTGTCCTAAAGAAAAACCGCACATAGTGGGTGAAACTGAACAATATCTCTAAGGGAGAAGTAATAACTTCACTTAAATAGGTTACTGTTAACCCTGTAATGTTCTACTTAACACAGGGGAAGAAAATCCATTGCAACAGAAATTCACATACATGGCCATTTTAGTTGTTTGAGGGTAACAGATTTTGGCCCCTTTCAATGTGAAAGAGTTAATCCACAAATTTCACAAAAGGCTTTATGTGATGGATTCTTTAGAGAGAAGTATAAAATTTCATTTTCCATATCTTTCAAATGCTTTTAGTCTTAAAAATACATTAGCTTTCCTGTATGTAGTTAACATAAAGAGTTTTTAACCTTATTAAAGGAAATTTACTATTACAGATGAAATATCTGTTCAAAAAGTTACTGTCCATTTTCATATTGTATTTTTGGCTACGCATTTATTTTAATTAGCTTTGTAGCCATCAAAGTACTCTTTTCCATGCTTTCTGCATTGCTTGGAATAATTAAAAAAGTTCTGATATGAATTTTTATAAATTGATGCAATTTTATTTAATTTTTTGGATATTATTAATGCACTATACTTTTGTCATTTCAAAGTAGATTTTTCTGATGGAGAGACAGCACACTGTTTATCAAAAAATTGTAGTAAAGGGGACTTTCATATTTGGTTTGGATTCTCGTACTTTCAGTATTGGATAAGCATTTTTCAGTCCAGAAACATTGTATTATTGTACTTTTATTATAAAATTGTATTCTATTCTTTCTCACAATCATAATAAACCTAGGTCTCGCTGCCAGTAAAGAATTTGTTGTTTATCCTTAACATTACAGTCTGCATGAAGCTCCTCACAGATTGCAATGTAATTTTGAGGCGCTTATCTAAAATAAGGAGAAGTAAGACAAACTTTACAATTATTCCTTGAATTTTCAGTTTTTCATTCAGAATGCTTTTGAAATGCTGCAATTATCAGCAGTTTCTTCAGAGATAATTAATTCATGGTTTGAATGAGTGGTTTCATGAGCTTCAGAAATATGTATTTCATAATTCTGACTATTATCAATCATCCATTGACTGTCGCCTAATCTTTGAAAGTATGTGCTGTTTAATGGGCAGCATGTAGCATAATGCCAATTGCCGTAAATTTGCTTCTTCTTTTTATGAATCTCTGTATACATGTTTTCTGGTTTGATGCAAAATTCATGACTACCTGTAGCCTAAATACTAATCACAATAAAATTATTTTATCATTTCATGTGTTTCTAAGGACTTTTACAAGTTATTTTTACATGTAATATTTATTATTAATAATCATAAAATTCATCAGCCTTGAAAATCATAGGACACACTCAACAAGTACTTAATCACTTAATAAGATCTAATTCAATAACTGGTCACATCATAGAAAAACTGTAGTAAATAGGAAGTGCCTTACCTAACTGCTGTATAGTATCACCTACTGCATACTGATGTGAAGTATACATTATAAGTTTGAGAGATTTTTTTTTTTTTTTTTTTTTTTTTTTTTTTTTTTTTTTTTTTTTTTTTTTTTTTTTTTTTTTTTTGTTTTTTTTTTTTTTTGTTTTTTTTTTTTTTTTTTTTTTTTTTTTTTTTTTTTTTTTTTTTTTTTTTTTTTTTTTTTTTTTTTTTTTTTTTTTTTTTTTTTTTTGTGTGTGTGTTTGTGTTGTGTGTCAAATTTGTCAAATTTGACCATTAAGATCAGAATAATTATAAAACTATTTTGTACTGAAACAAAGCTGGAAATTTTGTATTTGTAATTTATAAACTTGTTAGGCAAACATTTTTCTATTTTCAATAATTTTATGTATGTTTAATGTATCTGTAGGTTACTACTGCTGCATGTAGCTTGAGTAATGAAGCATGTTTTGATCTTGGTTTAAGACGAGCTGACCTTCAGTGCACATGGTGTGAAAAATTAGCTCAGTTTCAATTAGATGATATCTTGAAAGATAGCTGCTTGAGCTGCTGTGGTGATATTAAAAGCCTGAAAAGAGCTGTAAAGAATTTCCTTGTTCTTCATTCTGTAAAGACATAAAACTTTGCTTTATTACAATTTATAGTAAGAATTTTTAATATAAAGAATATATGTATTTTGAAGTACTAAATCAAAAATATATTGCAGTAGTTTGTCTTCTACAGTCAAAAGTCTTTAATCCGGACGTCCATAATCCAGAATGATCTATAATCCGGACTTCAAAAGCTACAAATTTTCTGTGCATGCATAAACGCATAATACATTTACGCATGTGTATAATACCTTTACGCATGCACATTTAATGTGTAACGGATGGTATAAGCTAAGCTAAACTTATCTAATTATCTTTCAGTTAATGTTGCAGATTGCGTTGTGTTCCTAAATATAAAATTGATCCAGGCTTATATTTTTTGCGACTGTTAGAGCAGTTTTATAAAAGTAAGCTTGAACTTTGATTAGTCAAAAGAATTCCGATTATGGAGCTGCCAAAGGATCTACAAAGCAAAGCATGTTCGCGTGTCCATCAAACCAAAAAGTGGGAATTGCTGCAAAAAATGGATAATGGCATTATCCTTGTTTTCCTCTAACCATTCAAACTGTATCCAATTTTCCGCTGCTCTGCCTGGGGTGGGGGGGGGGAAAGTGCATAGAAATGAACTGGGTTGATTTCAGCACTATCCTTACTTCAGAGCAGATTTGTTATTGTATGAGACTTCATAAATTCCTTACTCAATTAGGTAGATACTTTCTCCAAATCTTTGATATGATTTAAATCAAATTCCTCGTCATTATAAATATCAGGAATACAAATCAAATAGTTTTTGGTCGCAATTTTCTAATTCATCATATGCGTCTATATATGCTTCGCTGCGCCGGTGAAAAAATGTATCGGTTGCCCGCTCCCTGGGAAAAATTGGAGGAACACTCAGGAATTCGGAAATTGACCAAAAACTTCAGGGAATTTAAGTGTTTTAGTCAAAAATCTGGAAAAGTCGGGGAATTTCATACAACGATCCCACAAAAAGGCCGACCATCTGCACCGACGTAGAGAAAGAAGGATTACTTTTTTTGGCGAAGTTGTTAACGTTAGTGTCATTCGGGGCGGGCGTTGGATAGAGGCAATTTTCGCAGATCCAATTTGATTGTTTTTTTATGAAAGGCAAGCAAGTTCCAAAAACTTTTGGTTTCCAGTAACCTCGAGAATCGCATGTGCAGTGATGAACTAAAGAAAGTACCTGTTCTCGTATAAAAACAAACTGGTTTAATCAGTAACGGTACCATGAAGGTTTAGAATTAAAAAAATTTGTATGTAAAGAAGAAAAACCTCGACAGACCGTGGCCGGTTCCATCATCGCGCGGGAAACAGCGTGCATGCGCGTATAGATCTGTCGCCAAGCTCGAAACTGGTATCGAAGTTCGAAGGTATGTTATCAGAGTTCATAAAATGATATCGTTTAAAATGTCTTTAAACTTAAAGGAAAGAAAATATTTTTTGGCACAGTAAATTAATTCATGGATTAAGTTATTTTATGACGGGGTGGGGGGAAATCTACACATGAACGTGCACATGCTTTTTTGTGATGACATTTGTTCAACCTTTGACTTTTTTGTTTTTCGGTGAGAATGAGTGTGTCTCCACTCCATCGATTTGTTGTTTCGATTCTGGTGTGAAATGATGCAACCCAAGTTTCACACCTGTCTTTGGTGTTTAAAAAAGTTTTTTACCGCATACTGTATCGCGTGAGAAATGTCAGGGCACTACCAAGTCGCTTTGTTTTGTGAACATCAGTGAGCATTTTTGGAACCCACGGGAACCAGTTTGCGATAATCAAGTGGCAACACAATTTCGACAAAACAGTACGTGAAATTTGTGGAAATGCCTGAAAGAGTTGTCTTTGTGAAGAGTCTGTTCTCATGAATTGCTTTCATCAACTTTCCTTACCAAAGTATTGGTGACAACAGAAGGCAACCACGGCGCGTGGAATTTGTTCGACATGCATTAAACATTATTACCCACTTTCTCACCATTCCATCAATTATTGTATTTCACCGTAAACTGCTGTCACTTGCCGATAAATTCGGCCGGTTGAAATTCCTAGCGTTTCAAAAAAAATTAATCACGGCACGAATCTCACATAAGAGGCGAGAACTCAGTGTCTTAAAAATTGTGAATGTGCCACAGTAACTGAAACACAACAGAGAGCACCAAAATGGCGACACTGAAAGTCAGTGAACGAAGACTTGCGCATGCGCGGGACCCTCGACGGCGCTAGAATAAAACGGACTTAGTTTCCGAATACGCTACGTATCGGATGAGCGAAGATGAAAATGATATATTGTCTCCTGGTATAATTACCCTCAAATAATAAAAAGTAAAGTCTTAAGTAAATAATTACCCTCACAAAACGTTTGGACATGACCGCACACACATTTACCTGTTTCAAGAAAAGCTTTAGAATTTGAAAAATCCAACTGTTTTGCAAATTTTGATAAAGAAAAATGAAACTTTAGTGAATGAAAAAAACCAAAAAATTTGACATTCAATCAAAAGAAATAAATTCTCTAGAGAACGCGATGCACAAGAGACAACGTAGCTGAATTGAAGGCATGTTTTTTCCTATTATTATTACGTGGAGTGCTGTGAGAGCAGATTTCTCAAGCAAAGATTTGTGGTAGCTGACGGAAGCGGGAAAACGTTTTCAATAACAATGTCTATCACCGATTCCAATTCTGTTGAGGTGTTTAGGTTTGATGACATAAATTTATGAGCAGAGCGAAAGATGACAGATAGACTTGCACAGCTGAATGTTTTCGAAATATGTATCAAAAAATACGAAAAACACTGGTGTGCAAAATTAGGACGAGAGGTTTTCAATATAACTTTGCTACAAAAGCTTTCCAAATCACACATTTAATTACCGTAAGATTCCCAATACGTCAGGACATGAGTAATGTAAGCAACACTTACTAAAAGAGAAATCAGAGGGATTAAAAAGGAGCTTTATTGAAAAAGTAGCATGGAGTGAATGCACGACGGCCGAAACATCTCGGTGATGGTTCAGCAAGGAACATCCCGTCTTTAATAGGGGATATGATCTCCCCTGAATGATAGGCAGGTTCACAGCGTCTGCCCATGCTGAGAATAAGGGGTGTCAATGAATTTGTGAGGCATTGCTGCCCATTAGTTCTTGCAGCGCCAATCGAAGCTCCGGAATCGTTAATGGGTGTAGGTACGAGCTGCCAAGCAATCTGCCTAGAAATCCCATACATGCTGATGGGATGAGATCCGGAGATCATGACGGCCAATCCATAGTTCAATATCCCTCAATCTCTAGAGCTGTAGGCAGCTACTTGATGCATGACATGGTTGCATGTCGTCCATGACAAAGGAACTGCGACCATCGCGCCTCAAAAAGACGCACAATGATGAAGAAGAATCTCGTTACAATAACGGGTTACTGTTGACTGAACTGCTTTCGAAGTGTGAAGGTCTGTATGACTACCAAGCATATGCCTCTCCAAACGAGAAACACCGCCACCTCCATACGGTCCCGTTCAATGATGTTCGAGGGGATTGCGGGCAGGCGTTAGAGGTAAACACCGTACAGGCGCGTGCAACGGACCACCACCGTGCAGTCCTCTGGCCACGGTAAACACAATATCGGTCGTCCAGTCACCTGTGTCGGGTCTAGCGATTTTCCCGCTGTCGCCGCTGGTTCTCTGCTCTGTAGGCCAATATACCGCCGTCATTCTGCGAGTGAGTTCTCATACGACCAACTACCTAAACCCCTGGATGTGTTCCTGTAGTTGAAATTGTCCCAAAGTAGTGAAAACGATTTGTGGACAAATCCGAACTCTGCAGCCACAACTTGTTCACACTGCGGCCTTCCTCCACTTCCCAGTGATTCGACTTCGGGTAAATTAAAAAGCAACCAGATGTCGTCTAACCCTCATTTTCGGCCCATTTCTCGCTGACGGCAGAACTCTGGTGATTTAACTGCTTACGGGTGCAATCTCTGCCGAAATACTGATAAGTACACCGACAACATGCTTTAAATACCAAGACAATCCCCATTACGTCTAACTGCATATTGCGCATGTGCTACCTAATCACCTTACTTATCTCCTGATTGGTCTTTTCTGTCGCTATGCATCTTCGTTCAGCCTGATATGCTAATTTTTCGACTTCGTACTTAACAACAGTGTAATGTCAGTATGTTCAAAAAATGGTAAGTTCTCAATTGTGCTCGTTATTTTCATCGAGCCAAGTCGATAACTGTTTGGAGAGAAGCTGGGTATCTTTATGTCTATTCCATGATGTGTCTAGTGCCGCCTTTTTTTTTTTTTTTTTTTTTCTTTTAAGTTTGTTCTCTCCCATGTTCACAGCAATCTGGTTTTGCTTTAAAAATAAATCAGAGTTCGCAACCATGGCACTCAAATCCTGAAATCAGGACGGGGAAAATGAAGTACATGATCTATTTAAGCAGTCTTATTATTCTGTACGAGTGAAAAAAGCTACATCTGAAATTTCGAATGCACCAGAAACTGCAGTATGTGGTCCATTGCTGTGCTAAAATGCTGAGGTATCAATAGAAGGGATCATAATCTGCAGTCATATTGGTGAAAATGGAAAGCTATCATGGGAAAATGCTACGCTCATATCCATATTAATACTTTTTGCCAATATTATGGATAGCCATATAAATATTTTTTGCCGATGAAGAGCATGGCCTCACAACATGGCAAAGTATAATTGAAAAGTATCAAAAAGTTTTTAATAAAAAATCACTCTACTGTGATATTGATACACTGAGAGATTTAAGGTATTTATAACGAATAAAGCTCATGTAAGTAAAAAACCTGCTGGACGTATTTCCAACACTGAAGAGTATCCCTCTCTTGCAATAATAAATTAATTCATAAAAAATGGTGTAAAATTTGAAAGCAAGAATAGAATTTTATCGAGAAAATACAAAAACCGAGTTTAAAAAATTGGATAAAGTGTAAATGTTGTAATAAAATATCTGGTACTTGTGTATTTTGCCATTGGGCCATTTTTGACAATACCACCAAGCAGTATAATTTAGCACCAACAATGGATAACTTATTCATAAGATCTTTGCTTTTGCTTTATGTAGACTTGATTCTAAAAAGTTAGTTTTTTTAAAGAATGATTTGAGTTAAATGCTATTTTTATTTCTGCCCCTTACATTTTGAAAAATATATTAAAATTTGGGAGCTACTATCTGCAGAACTGCAAGCAATAGAGTATTTTCAGAGTTACTGGACTCATTATACTAGTGTGCTTTCTGAAAGCAATGAAAGGCTGGACTTAAAAAAAAATGGCATAATAGAAAACACCACAGAACTATTCAACATCATTCAGATGCATAGTGGAATTAATTTATATACCACTGAGTTTATAAAGGGGTCAAAAGAATGGTGCTAATTTTAATGGATTTGTTTGTCAGATAACCTCAGATCTTTCAGCTTATGTTAAGTGTTTTGGGAACATCCTTAGTATTATGTCCCTCATTTTGTAAATGGCAGCAAAATTATCTATAAACAAACTATCTTAAATAGGTGGTGGTCCCTAACAACAATCATTTATAGTTAGCTTGTGATACTACAGTTCTGATATGTTATTACATTTTATTTTTTTCATACGAGCTTTAACAATTCAAAGTAACTCAGAATTTTCTCATCACGAATAAAGCTGTTAACATATCTTTCTTTTCAAAATGTGTTTAAAATCTTTGTTTCATCAAGAAGCGAGAAAGATGATACATCTTTCTTCTCTAAGAAAGACTCATTTTACCTTGCATTCAAATTCTAAATGGTGAAAATGGTCTTTAAATAAATCTGCTTATCAACTGAATTTGGGGATGCAACATGAAAAGTTGCAAGTGAAAGAAAGTATACGTTTTGGCAACTATTTCAGCACTTTTTGAGTACTCTTTCTAACAGTAGTTTATTTATTCTTCAGCAGAACTGATGTACAGTAAGTGGTGAGAGAAGCAACTCAGCCTTTATGAAAATGCTATTATTGACTTAAAACAATTTTATGAGAGAAGTATATTCACTGCATCTAATCCAACAATCAAATATGTGAGTAGAATCCTTGGAAAAAAAATTGTGGACATGAATGAAAATCTCTTCATACAGAAAAAAGCAAAGTCTATGGAGTTCTTGTACTCAATAGACTTTAATTTAATATTTGGCAAGATTTGCCAGGTTGCTGGAAAACTGGTGAATTCTTTCTCATCCAGGTTCTAAACAAAGGCAATGGCAATTGATGGCAAAAATCGCCGACCATGTGCAAGGGAAAGCAGGATTGAGATATTTTACTGTAAAATGTACATTATATTTTGTTGATTCAACAACAGCTGCTCATGCACAAAATGCTGAAACACTGTGACACTTCGCTAAGTGGCAAAATAAAAATAAACTAGGTATGTTTTGCTATCATCATGAGTCTTATCTTCTGGAGTTTATATGATGAATGTCTTTGGGATGAGAAAATGCTTTTAATGCCATATTAAAAGCAATCATGGAAACATGGCAGCCACAAAATATATTGATTGCTAGGGTTATTAGCAATCAATATATTTTGTGGCTGCCATATAAAATTAGTATCAATCAATATACTTTGTGCCTTCCATATAAAATTAGTAACAATCAATATACTTTGTGGCTGCCATGTAAAGTTTCAAATGCTAAGATTATTGGCAAGATAATGTTTATCTCTTAGAAAGAAATAAACATCATCTTACCAATAATCCTAGCATTTGAAAAGTGGAAACCATAGCACTAATGAAATATCATTTCTATTAATTAAATATATAAAAAGTATTTTTAAAATTTGTCACATTCATTTTGAAATAAATTGCATACAAAAATCAAAACAAAGGAAAGCACAGTTGAAAAAAAAAAGGGGGGGCGGGAGGCAGGCAAAATATGCTTAATCCAAAAGTGAAATAATAGAAGTAAAATGCAGTTCAAAACCTAATCTAATTCTGCACTAATAGCAGTAACAAAAGATGGTAATAATGCAAAATAAAAAATACATTTTAAATTCATGACATATTCATCGATAATATATATAAATGATTAAATATTCAAATTGCAGTATTGAAAATAAAATGCAGTCTCATATACTTTCTCTTAATTATTCTTTTAACTTTGTACTTACTACCTAGCTTATTAATTTTATATATATACATATCTCTTGAGAATGAATTCTGAAGAAAGTGCATTAAATGTAGAAAAGTAACTTATTTGCAATAGAAATTAGAAAATGAGATATCTGAAATTTGTAGATCCCCTAAAATTTGGGAAAATAATCACTAAATTCAGCATTAAGGTTACTTACCCTGTTTAAAAGCTGACTGGAAAACTGAAAGATGGAAGATTAATTTGAAAGTTATCGTTAATTATATTTTCACTTGCACATGTATAGTTATGGAATATAAAAGTTATTGAAAATATTTCTTTTATCTTTCAGAAATATCCACAAGCTCGTCTTGAAGTGTGTGGATGAAAAATAGGTCACTACCCGCAAATCCAAGGTATGTATAAAACAAATTTTGTTGAAAGATTTACTTCAGATTTCAATTCTTTAATAGTTTTTTATCACTGTACACTTTATGATTTTATTTCAGCATATTTATATTTAATAAAGCAGATTTTTTTATGTTGCATTTTAACATTATGCTTTAAATATAAAATTCTGTATGAAGCATTCTAGTGTAGAACCTGCAGTGTATTGTGTACTGTCTATGTAATTAATCTGCTAAATGTTCAGATTTTGTACAGTCTTGGAAGGAAATAAAATGTCCTGTTTGCCCTGTTGTGTGCAGATCTTTATATTATACTGCTTAAGTTTTTCAAATAATAAGTAAAGAGGAATAATATTGTTTTTTATTTTTATCCGAAAAAAAAAAAACTATAATACCGTATAAGACAGTAGGCATTTTGAACACACTTACCTACTTGGTATCTTTAAAAGGAGTTACAAATGCATACAAAATACAAATAAATAAATATGTAAAACATTAAAAAATTTTTGCAATAATTTGTTGTCACTTCATGCATACTAGCTTATATGAAGCATATTTTTAAAGTAAGTATAGTTTCGGAAATGGGGGGGGGTAGAATTTTCTTACCATTTTTTTTTAATATGAGATTCTGTACCTCAATCTATTTTTCTACATAATTTCCATCAATATTGAGGCACTTAGCATATCATGCAGCTAGTTTTTGAATCTCTCTTCATCAGAACTGTTTCCTGATTTGACTTTCACTGCAACATGGTCATTTTGACCTCATCGTCATTGCTGCTCATTGTCATCGAGATGCTTCCTCAAGTGCAGGAACAGCTGGTAGTCTATGGATGCTGGCTTAGGACTGTAGAGAGGGTGACCGGGTTGTTACCAGTGAAATGATGTGGTGAGATCTCGAGTTCATTTAGCTGAATGTGGACGAGTAAATGCCATAAAGCAAAATGATCCTCCGCCTTAGCATAGCACGCCATTTGTTTTGGATTGCACAGCACAGCTTGTTAAGGGTCTTGCAGTATATAGTAGAAGTTGTTGTGTAACCACAAGGCAAAAAATCCAAAGCAACACCCCTTTCCTGTCCCCAAACACAGTACACATAATTTTCTGGATTGAAACTTTTGCTTGAACTTCACTCTCTCGGGTGATAACAGATTTCATCCTGGATGATGGATCCACCATTTCATGAAGTGCTGCATCAATTCTGGTGTAGTCTAAGCCGGACAGGTTTTTGTCGCCTATGACAATTTGGCTTAAAAAAAATCATCACCTTCCTTGCTGTATCGCTAAAGGAAAGTTAAAGTACTGCCTAAACATTTGGTTCTGTACACCTTTATCAGCATTTTCAGTACCCAGCATCCACTTAATTTTCTTTAATTTAAGCATTCAATCACAATTTTATACAGAACGCTGCAGGAAGCCCGAGGCAATAGTGACAAATTGCAAAGCTTTTGTTCTGTTTCGCTCGTTCATCAACTTTCTGCATCAAATTTTCAATAATGATAGAAGGTTGCCCATGTTATTCATAATTACGAACATTCGTGCGCCCATCTTCATAAGCTGTACTCCATTTCTGCACCATTCTATTGCTCGTAATGTTTTCTCCAAATGCTTCAATAATCTGACTATGAATTTCACCTGCTTTCACGTCTTTAGTACTGAGAAATCAAATCAATGGTCCTATTTTACAATCAAGGAGAATCTCGGTTGGTGGAACTATTTTAAATGGCCGAAAGTTTCCATAGTGGCACCTTTCGCTTGTCAACAGATGTGGGTAAACAGCATGGACGCTTGCAATGCTGACTGCAGCGCAGTGACACTGAAATTTCAACTAAACTAACTTTACGGATTAGCTAATAAAATGCTTTTTTAAATATAGGTTTTCGTGAGCAGATTCGAACAGCAATGCCATTCAAAGTGTTAATTTACAATAGTCCCATAAGTTTTCTGTTTAATGTGGTTATTTCCCCATTCTTTTCTGAAAGTAATTGTTTATAATAAATCTGTCTGTACTGCATTTTCAGAATTAGATCTCCTTGTATTATTCCTATGTAATACCAGTGATGCGGTTACTCACATAATGCTTCTACCACTAATAATGTTAAAGTTTTTAAACTGAAAACTTTAAAAACCAACTGCTCAAATGAATTTGAGGTAAAAACAATTTATTTTTAACCTAACCATCAAAATATAATTTTTCATTCTTTCTTCACTTTGCAATCCTCTCAGCACTATTTTTGCTACTTTTCTTTCTTCAAATAAATTGAGGATGTTAAAAGAAGAAAAGAAAAAGAAACTGCAAATGTAATTATAAAAAAACCCAACTTAGATGTGCATCTGTCGGTGCCAAGAAATTGTTTTGTGAAAAATTAAAATGTTTTAAATTGCCCACTGTGACTTTTATTATCTTAATGTGCCATCAGTCGGTCATTAAGTTCTGCATTATCAAATCTAAAAATTTCTTCCAACTTCTATTCAAGATTATCAGTATAAATATGCTAATTCATTTGTGTATTATTGTTTAACATGTAAATTAAATTTAAATAAAATTCATGAGTTATTTGATTGTTTTTATAATTTTAAATGTAGTAATGAGAGTGTATGTATAAAGGCTAATCAAAAACCAACCTTAAATAAGCATGAAATAAAGCAGCAAATTAAGAAAGAAATATATTTATTATATACAAAAGTTGAACATATATATTTGAACTATTTTTCATTGCATGTAGAATTCATAATATGCCATCATCTTTTTACTTATATCAAAAAAGATAGCTGTCTAGAAACTCAGCCACTGATAAATGCCTTTTGCTGCCAAATAACTGACTTTAGCTCCATTTTGATGATGATTTTTCAATATGATGTTCAGGAAAAGAGTGAGTCTTCCCACTGAAACTGCTGTAGTAATACTTCTGTGCATGCTGCTGTGTGTGGATATGCTTGTCATGGACCCAAACAATGGTAGAATAAACATATTCTGTCCGCATGTATTTTTTAAAGGTCTGCAATACACCTTCGTAATGGTTCCTCCATAAAGTTTTTCATGACCTCCTTGCAGTCTAAAAAAACTAGCCACAAACTTAGTGCACAGTGTTGATTCTAACTTCCTGAGTTTATTTTACGACTTCACTTGTATACATTATTTCAGGTTTTCTTTTGTGTGCATGTTTGCAGAGTGGATTCCCATTTTGTCACCTAATATAATCATGTTCAAAAAAGCATTGCTATCTATGTGATAGCATAGCAAGAACTGCATTGCCAACACAGTTACCACATTTTGTGATCCTTTATGAAGATTTTGGATACTCATTTCACTAAAACTTGTGGTAACTCAGCTTCATAGTCACATTCTCATAATTTCCTTTGCCCAATTTTGAGAAATTTATAATTCCAGTATTATGAAATAGCATCTACCTCAAATCACTTTCTCTACTTATTCTTTAAAATTATCCATCGCAACAGATAATTTTTCATGACTGAATAATCTTCATTCTGAACTTGTCTGTATACATTTCAATAATACTGTGTTCAATTTTGCTGTAGTATCTACTCAGCTAACCCAATATTTGGTGAGACTGAAGATTATACTAGCTATCATTCTGAACACTGTACATGGGGTAATATGAGGCAACATATAATTGCTTATTCCAGCATATATGCAGCAGTAAACTAAGTACTTTTACCAATCTTATTTTAACTTGTTGCTCTGCTGGGCTGTAGTGATTTCTTGCCCGGTGCTGTTCAACACTTTGGGCTTTTACTGGATGCTTCCTCGTGGTGATATCTATGGGTTGAATCAAAAGTGTGATGTCTTGAGGACCATATTAGCCATGAATGACAGAACCTGGGTCTAAGTCATGAGAGTGAAATACTTTTCCTCTTCACAGAAGAGTTCTTCAGTGACGAATTCAAGTGATTAAATTGTTTTGTATTTGCTAGCATTGGCTGGCTTTGGAGCTACCGTAAACAAATTACTTTTTTATGTTAAAATGTACAATTCAAGATATAGTTTTTTTTTTTTTTTTTTTTTTTTTTAAAAAAGGATTTTTTAGTTGAAGAAATTTTTTGTTTGTTTTTACATTTCTTGTATGCTAAAACTGTCTATTATTTATTTTCCTTTGAAGCATTTGTGAAAAGTGACCAACCAAATAATTTTCCTGGACTTTCTGTGAAATATGTTCGCGGTGCTGATCCTGTCATCAAATTACTTGATGCTGATGGTAATTCACAGGAGGAGTTAAGCATACAAAAATGGGATACTGATACTGTTATCGAATTTTTGAAAGAACATCTTGAATAATCATACAAAATTGAATTAAATTTTTTTAATTGTTTGTGTACTTTATGTGTGATATGTTGCTGTGAATAAAGGTAAAGAAGACAGTATACTTTGTAATGTTGCTTGGATGTACATTATATAATTCTCATCTTGCATTTGATGATAGTTAGTCAAGAAACCATAATATTGGTTTGATTAACTGGATGCTTGATGCTGAGATGACTAAAAATGTAGATTCAAGCAGTATTCAGAAGTGTAGTGCCTTGGACCTTTTTTGCAGAAGCATATCTTATTCTGGCATTCAAATGTATTTATGTCTGCAGTTGCATTATCAATAAAATATTTTTTTATGCTTAAGATTCTATGTTTGTTCTATAATTTCTTTAATGATATGTACTATGTGCATTAAGTTACTTATGTTATGGAACATGAATTTTTACCTGAAAGTAAATTGTTTTGTTAAAAAAAAGAATAAAAGTGGATTATTTCATAATATGACTCTTTATAACAAAACCTTTCTATATTAAACTTTTAATTATTGTTTGATTAAGAATATAAATTCAAATATTAATTTTGTTTTATTATAAATGTCTGATATTTATAAATAGGTAATCAAAAAAAGAAGCATTAATCCTCCTAAATTTTAAATCTCTTAACTATCCATTCCTTTTTATAGTTCTTCACTACCAGCTAAAAACAATGTGTCATCTACATGAAATAATCATGATTTTTCAGACATAAAATTATATGTGTATTTTTCATGAGTTTTTAATTTCTTTTGTTTTTATTGATTAAAATCTGGAATTTGATCTTATAGTTTTAGTGAAATATAGTGGCTCACATTTTTATATTTTTGAAATTTTTCTGCATAGATCTTGCACTAAATATTGAAATATAGTGGTTTAATTTCCCCCCCCCCCTTATGCATTATTTTTCACTCAGGCAAAGTCTAGTTGCGATTTTTTAGCCAATGTTGTTTCTTGTTATGATTCGTGTTATTTATATTAAATGAAAATACATCACAAGAATTTAAGTGTGCATTAGAAAATTACTACTTGCTGAGCAAAATGTACTAACAGTTCCGTATTTGAAGTGAACACTTCAAATTAAGAACACGATGACTGCAAAGACAACAAAATTAATACACTACAAAATAACAAGTTGTATTATAAATGTAATTAGTAATCATTAAAAAGATAGTGAAAGTAATCGAAATATTAAAAAAACTGTGACTTAAGCATTCAACTATTTTTAATATAGAACAATAGAATTCTTGAAAATGCATTGAGGTCTGGACCACATTGCAAGCTAACACAAAGTATCAGAGATTTATTGTACAAAATGTCAAATAAGATCCAAAAATTATTTCTATAAAATTTGCAGTGGATTTAGAAGAATAATCTGGATTTGAAGAAAAGTTAATTCTGACACTGTTAGAGTTTATTATTTTGAATGTAGTGGGTGATTAGCAAGCTTTGGTTTATTTAATTACAACAAAGCACTCAAGAGCTAACTGCCTAAGGGAAGGGAGGCCTTCGTGGAAGACTTTCTAAGAGAAAATGGCCCGTATACATGTTACACATGGGCCCACCAGTGGCCGAGCGGTAAAATCGCTGAGCACTGGTAGTTCGCTCCGAGGTTCGAATCCTGCAAACAGGCTGGGCGTTTTCATGGTTTTCCCCATGTGTAACATGTATACGAGTCAGTTTCCCTTAGAAAGTCCTCCACGAAGGCATCCCTTCCCTTAGGCAGATAGCCCTAGTGTGCTTTGCCGTATTCTCAATACACTACCATGTTACACATGGGGAAAACCACCAAAATGCCCATGCAGCCATTCTGTTCACCGGGATTTGAACCTGGAACGATATAATTATGAATATACAAAAAGAATATTCATTTATTCAAATGGAGATTTCAAATTTTTGCTATAATGAAAATTTTTAGTAGTATTAAAACTAAATTCTAATCGAAATCTTAGTGGAAATAGTATTAACACCATAAATAACCAGTAGATGTCAGCATTATAACAAGCTGTCATTTATTATGAAGTACTATTAAGCTCATCCAATTTGTTTCTTTCATATTTTGTAAGAATTTAATGAACATTTTATTAATAAATTCATCCATTTAAAAGCAATATGTTGCCACTTGAAAAAATATAAGACGTGTTAACCCAAAAGGGGCTTGTCTCGAACTGGGATTTTGCAGTGGTTCACTATAAACAACTTTTCAAATTAGTGCTAATTATTATTGCCCTGTATTATTTTTAGAGAAATTTAATAATGAAGAATCTGCATGTAAGTATTTATGTTCCTTGCATTGTAAAAAAAACGATGGTATGTAGAGCCATCAAAATTTGAGTATCATAGTCCTTCACCAGAACATGTGCCCAAATTTTACATTTCATAAATTATTGTAAAACTTTAATGAATTTTTGATTGACAAACTCAATGATTTGAAAGCAAGCAACGACAGCATTGTTCGAAATAAAAGCTTTTTATATATAGTTTACGAGACTGCTGCCGTTCAGATAAATTTAAGATATTTATGGTTCAGTTTTCATTAACAAAGTCAGCTCTATGAAAGCAGTGTGTTGCCGCAGCCTGAAATAAAATACTTTTATCTTCCACATGCCAGCTTGTTACCATTGAACAAAGCCTAAGATAGTTTCGAAATTAATCTGTAAGGTTACTGAGTAATAAACTAAGATTAAGAGAATATTCCGGTATTCCTTTTCAACTCATTGTTTCCAACATAGGTACTGCTTCATATCCTTTGGCCAAATATTTAGTTTCCAGATTTTCTCTTTTACTTGCTAACAATATTCACACTAAAAAATTCTGTTGAAGTCATTGATAAACTTAAAAACATTTCTCCACTTCGTTCCATTATGGTTTCGTTTGATGTCAAATCACTGTTTACTAATGTTCCGGTCAAAGGAGCACTAAATTGTCTTGAAACTAGGCTTCGCGAATTTCACTTCACACATGCTGAAATTAATGAGTTGGTTTCGCTTACTAAAGTTTCTCTAAGCCAAACCCACTTTGTTTTCCAAAATGCATATTTTCGTCAAGTTGAAGGATTGGCTATGTTGTAATCCTCTCAGCCGGTACTTGCTGACATTTATATGCACTATTTTGAGATGAAATTATTTGATAAACTATATTTTCGTCTTTGGATTCGGTATGTTGACGACACTTTCGTACTTTTTGACGGTTATAAAGAAGATTTATCCGAGATTCTATCTATTATGAATTCTATTGATCCAGCCATCCAATTCACTCTTGAAATTGAATCCAACAATTCCATCCCCTTCCTTGATATTCTTATAATTCGCAATGAAACTGATTTTAGCACTACTAACCCAAGTAAACCCTTTGCAGTTTGTTTACAACCCCATGCCAAGTCATGCCACCCTGTTAAGCAAAAAATGGCTTTTTTTTACTATTATGTATTCCGCGCGCTTAAAGTTTGTTCCTCGGAATCTTTGCTTACCAATGAACTTAATTATTTGAGAGTAGTTGCGATTGACCGTGGGTTTGTCCCGTGATTATTGATAAAGCTGTTAAAAAATTTTCATATTCCCATCAAAGAAGACTTTCCACTGTTAGAAATAATATTAATGACCTTGTTGTGCTTCCATTTTATCCTTCTGTTAGCTATAAAAATTGCACGTATTCTCCAGAAATTCAGTTTTCAAGTCTGTTTCTCCCCTATTAATAAAATTCACCCTTCGATTCTAAAAGATTGCGTTTCTGTCTTGAATTCTTGGGGAATTTATAGTATATCGTGTCAGTGTCGTTTAAGATATATTGGCCAAACAAAAAGAGCGTTGAAGTTTCGTATCAAGGAACATGAATCTTATGTCAGAAAAGGCGAAATCAACAAGTCTTCAATAGCGTATCATAGTTGGACATTTAACCATAATTTTGACTTTGGGTCTGCAAAAATCATCCAAAAGGCTTCTTCCATAGGTGAATTGGATTTTCTTGAGGCTTTTCATATTCACAAAGATTTAGCATGTTTAGTTAATGATTTGAAGTCCAATTCAGTCCTTCCTAATGCCTTTAAAATTCTACTATCTTAATTCAGTTATTTTTGCTAATAGATGGCGTTACCTCTTCGCGTTTGGTACTACCAGAGGGTATAAAAGTCTGTTCAGTGGTTGCTTTCCATTATTGGAAGTTCAGATTTTGAGCGTGAAGGTGCATATGCCCCTCGCTCCCTATTTTTAACTTCGCTAATTTTTCTTGTCCTTTGTGTTATATGTTTGATCAGATAGCCTGGCTCAGTAAAAGTAGGTGGCCAGTGTAACTCTGATTAAAAATCCGTTTATAACCACGTGCAGTGCTGATAAGGACCATGTGTTTCTGAGACTCCTTCCCCTTCATTTTTCTTTCTTTCTCTTGATGAGGAGGGACCTTTAGCTGCGCTCGAAATCGATTGAGTGTTTCAATATTCTTACACTAAATACAAGGTTGTTTTTACGATTTTGATTAAGATTAAGAGATTTGAAAGCAGTAAACACAGTTCTTAATTTTTTTGAGGTACATTTTAATCTGATTGTTTAAATAAACATATATCGAAGCCATGAGATGTCTAATGAGAAATTTCAATATTTTTATAAAATTACAATAATTGGACTCGTTAAAATAATTATATACTTTTCCTTTTTTTTATGATAACTATTTTAGGCAATCGATTAGTTTTTAAAGAAATAGTACAGCGAACATAAAAACCTATGTGACAACTTCTAACACTATCGGAAATTCTAAAGATATTTGTTTTAAAATATTTTTGGAATTTTTGTTTTGTTGAATATGTGGCTTAAGTGTGAAGAACGTGACATTTAGTAGATATAGTTATTGCATGAAAGTTTTGTTAGACACTTTACTAAGAAAATTGAATGTTGTATGATGAACTGAGAAAAGATATAAAAAAAAAAAAACATATGTTGACAGTTAACACTGCATCAGGAATTCTAAAAAAAAAAAAAGAAAAGAAAAGAAAACTGGATTAACAAGAGCAGACTTGTAGCCTGTGAGCTCAGCAAGAGCATTAAAAACCTTATCAAACCCTTTTTGCAACAGTTGAAATCTGAAGCCTTTCAGAGGTTTTTCCTTTTTCTTTTCTTTCTTTTTTACTTCCTTGTACGAAGTAAAAAGGAAGAGTTGTAAACGCGAAAAGTTTCAGGCAGCATATTTCAGTGAAAATATCCATTTTGACCGCTTTCGAATGCAATTTAACAATGTTTTTGCGTGAAATCTGTATGTAAGGACATAATAAAAGACTGTTTTCCTCCAAAAAAATTATAAAACTGCTTTAAAGTGAATTCTGAAGAGAATTTTTCGTGGCGT